ATAATCAGACATTTGAGTTTGAAAAAGAAAATGAAAGTAAGAAAAACAACACCAAATCACCACAGTGAATTTAATTTCACACAGGATACAGTATCACCATACCTCCTCAATGCCAGCAATGTTATTTACTGCCAGTTTTTTGAGTGAACTCTGAAGTTTTTTGTCATCAGCTGTAGCTGTTCTGTGCACCACCTTCTTCTTTCTGCGAGCTGTTCCCTGAAAAAGGATCAAGAGAACAGCCTGCAACACACAAATTCTCACAACACTTTCAATTTAAAGTCACTTCACACTCAGCAACATCTCTTTTTTGAGCTGTAGTAATGCTCTGTAGCAGAAAATACTTCTCAACTTCCTTTACTTACAGTTTTAGCTGCCAGTCCCAATCTTTAGATTTTTCTCAAGTGTAAAAGATAGAAGAAGCACAGCAATAGCATTTCTTTTTCCCCAAAGCTGAATTATAAAAATATTAACTTATAAGCAGCATATAAAAATGCTGTCTGAAAACTTCATTTCAGAAGAGATGAATCAAATCTAAAAATCCACGCTTTTCTATGTAAGCAGTTCACATTTTTAAACTGCCCCAAAGACAGCAATTCTACAGTTCTCATTTGCAAGCTCCCCCAGACCCCTGTCTACTGTTAGGAAATGAATGCTCTCATGGAATCGTCCATATGCTTTGTCATATTACATACTGGCTGGCACAGATAAAAGAAAGAGCTCAGTGCACAGTCAGATAAACCCTGGAGCTGATACTGGAGAAGAAACTTCCCAACATGCAGAAGAAAAAGAGCACAAACAAGCAACAGGTAAGCTTCAGCTGAGCATTCACCGGTCACAACAAGTCGCTGATTTAGAATGAGCCTGGAACTGGAACTACTCATTTAGTAGCTGTGAAGTGAAATAAAGCTGCTTTTCAGGTAGTAGTAAGATGCAGACCATTTCAGGTCCACATTGCATGAAGAAATCCTTTTTTGAGGCCTCTAACTGCCCTCTCATGAGAACGCTCTGAGCCCACAGATGCAATCACAGAAGTACAGCTCTCGTAGCTTTCTTACCTTGCCTCCTATTCGGACCTGAGCTTGAAGCTTGGCTAGCTTTTCTTGATTCATAGTGTTGTGTCTAAAGAATGAGGTACAAATACAAGTTAACTACCAAAATATTAAAAATCACTGAAATAACGCAAGCAAATACACAAACAAGAACACACCGTGTAAATAACACAAAGCAGCTCCGCGGAAGAAGCATCTGCATCACGATGACGCAAACCAACGCTACGTTTGATGTTGCCTCAGTTGTAAATCTCCAAGTCTAAGTCTGTCAGCTCACCGCCGGACCCACCTTGCTTCTGACTCACAGCACAACCGGTACGGACCGCCCAAGGAACGCGGCTTTGTGCTGAGCAGAGCCCAAGGGAGGCTCACCCTGAGCCCCCGATGCACTGCTCCCAAACAACAAACCTACCACAGACCCCTGCAGCTAACGAGCTGCTCCAAAACGAAGAGGTTCACACAGCACCACATTACCGGCTCGGACCTCCGGCAGCCATCGCTCCAATCCAAGGCTAACAAGTTCATCCGGGCTCTGCCGTGGGCCAAGCGCGACCTTTAAAGGCCAGAAGACACGAAGGCTCGGTATGGGCTGAAAAACGCCTCTGCCGCAGGAGATCAGCCCCGAGAGGCCGCAGAGACGGAAGGACGAAGGCAGGCGCGCCGCGCCGGAGCGACAGAGGGCCGGAGGGCTCCGGCACGGCGCTGCGGGCGGGGAGGACAAAGGCCGCACATCTGAGCGGCAGCGGGACGGCGCGGCCCCGCGGACACGGGACGCTGCGGCGCACGAGCCCGGGGCACGGCCTCACCGCCGTCCTCTGCACCTCAAACAGGGCCCGGCTCGCGGGAGCGAGACGGAGCCCGGCGCCGCACAGCCGGCCCACCCGACCCTTCGCGGCTGTGCGCGGGCGGCGGGCGCGAGGCGTTCTCACCTGAATTCGGCGGCCCCTCCGCAGCCCAACACGCGGTGAGAACAAGATGGCGGCCGAGGAAGGAAAGAGCGCTGCACAGAGAAAGGAAGCTTCGCGCCACGTGACGGCACTCAGCCGCCCGCCCCCAGCCACGGATTGGCGGCGGCGCCGACAGTATTTGCATAGCGGCGGGGGCGGGAGAGGCGCGCGCCCGGGCCGCGGTGCATGCTGGGAGTTGTAGTCCGCTCCGCGGTTGACATGGCGGCCCCCGGAGGGCCTGGCGGCACCGCCCACATCCGCCTTGCGTCACTTCTTGGGCTTTAAAAAAAAAGGGAAAGGTAAAAAGATCCCTGGGGCTGCTCCGATCTCCTCTCCGAGCTCCAGGGCCCGTCGCTGACACCATGAGGGCTCATCCCGCCGCAGCCTCCGTCCTCTGCCTGTGCCTGCTGATGGCTGCCGCCGCCACCGCCGCCGCCGAGGGGCTCGGAAAGGGTCAGCAAACGTTTCCTTCGGGCTTTGCTCTCAGCTTCTGGCGTTGCCGTGAGGGCTCGCGGGGTCACTCGGCGGGCTGGGGCTCTTGGGGCCGGGCCGGAGCCGCCCTGAGCCGCAGCCCCACGCGGCTGGGGAAGATTTGGCCCCTCGGAAGCAGCCCCGCCGCCGACTCCTGGTCACCCTGGCACGGTTTTCCTCTGCCCGGCCTGCCCTCCTCGTGGGCTTGTCGTGGGCAGCGGCTCGGATCCCTTCGGGCTTCACCCGGGGTGGTCGCGCTCTGGGCGGGTTGCCCTGAAGGCGGATGTTCGTTGCAGGGCTGCAGGGAGTGCCTTCAGCCTACCCGGCAAGGCTCTTCGAACAGAGGATTGTCCCTGTTCCATCGTGATGGCCTTTGAATGAAACACCCGACGTGCCTGTATTCTGAGTAAATGTGACCTGTTAGCTGGAAGCCTGTTATGGCTTCCAGCTCCCCTTAGCCCATGCAAACTTGGACATCAATGCCTTGCTGGTAGCTGGACTAAATATTTGATGTGTTGTGTCATATGTGTTCACGGTAGTTTGTACTGGGAGATAAGCACAGGTCATAAAAACACTGTGCCAGCAGCTGCAGTTTGCCAGATGCTGAAGGAAGGTACCACAGGGCTTTGCTCCACTCTCCGCAGTTTCTTTGCTACAGGTGTTTACTGGAGGTGCTGCCTGCCATGGTGTCAGCACTGGGCAGCTTGTGGCTCCTAATCCTGTGCTGTAGCTCCCCAGATTGTCCCCTTGGTGAGGATACGGCCCGTGCCATGTCGCTAAGTTATCCCAGCCCTCAGCTATGGGAAGGGGAAAGCCATGGCTGAGATTTGCCTTTCAGCACAGCCCGTGTCACTGCAGCAACAGGACCTCTGAGGAGTTCTTCAGAGAAGGCTCCCTTATCTCAGATCTCCTCCATCTCAGCACTTCGTGTGATGGTGGTGACCAAAAAATGGCAGTCTCTGTTTTCCTGTTCTTAGCATATTAGCTGACAGAACAAGACTTGGTACCTGCTTATTGGATATGTATTTCCCATGTTGTTCGGTCACTGCAAAACTCAGAAACCTGCATAGCAGTGTTCTTTCTTAGTCTTTGATGTCAATTATCAGCAGTGGTAATATTTAGCATAATAGTTTTAGAGCATTTAATAATCACTTATTGGTCTAGGTGTATTTGATGTTTGCTCCCATTCACTAGGATTTAGGAAGCCAGATGGTGACATGTTTAATTTGTTCAAATCAATCAGTTAATAAATGTTCATAGGTTGAGAAACAATAGGGAATAATTAGAAGGCATTTCAGTTTTAAGCTTTGCTTGGGGAATTTTTTTGTCCTTTGCATAACTGTGAATATTCATGAGTGTGTGATTTGTTTTTGTTAATTAATTTCAGTGGGATTCCTCAATAAAACTGTGTAGGTTGTAAGTATTCACAGAAGTCTTTCAAGGACTGCAATTATAATTTCCTTTTTAAAAAAGAATATGTTATGAGCTGAAAATATTCTGGAGGGTTGTTTTCTTCTGATGATATGTTAACTATGCAGCATTTCTAAAACCTCCTTTCTGGCAGGTTTTGGAGATCACATTCACTGGAGAACACTAGAAGATGGGAAGAAAGAGGCAGCAGCCAGGTATGTTACTTGCTTATGAATACAGAAAAGAGGCTTTAAAAGTTCACCCAGATTCTGTACCAATGCTAACCAATCCTAAATTTAACCACAGAAAATACAAATTATTAACAAAGGTGTAGGAGACTGCTTAGATCCCTACAGCTTATTAGAGAAATAAATAGTTTTTTCTTAATGTTGCTGAGGAATCACCCGTGTTTAATCACTTCAGTTCAATGATTGAGGTTCTGTCACGTTTCCAAAGAAGAAACCCACAAACTGAGGCTTAAAGGCTACTCAGTCCCCTTGAACTCATCAGTGCTCACTGCATCTGTCAGCATGGATGTGCTCGTATGGATGCGAGACCTCAATGTGAGATACTTTGTTACTAAGGAACAAACTGATAAGTCATTAAAGTAGAACCTTTTATTGGTTGAAACTCTAACACCGTCTCTGTGAAAAGATTTAAAGAAAGTCATTTTTACGTTTCTCTCAGAATCTTCTTGTGTCAAAACATGAGAAATGAAGCTGTCTGTGTATCAGTTCTTGTGTTTGTAACTGTGCACTGATTGACGGGAGACCTCTGGCTGCCCAAGGTGCTGTCACGTGAATGCAGGGCACTGCTCAGCCTGATGAGCACTTGTAAGCAGATATTTATTTGTAAGCAGCACGTATTCCATATGTCTGTACGAAAACAGTCGCAGTTTTCGCAGGAATAGTTCTGGCTCTGCTTTGCAGTGAAGCAGAGTTAGCAGTAGGCACAGAGGAAGCACGCGTTACGCAGGATAAGAGGTTCTGCGCAGAACCCCGGGAGGGCGGGCTGCGGCGCAGGCCCGGGGCGCTCCGCGTCGCCATAGCGACGGTCCGCCCGAGCGGAAGCGGTGGCGGCCACTTCCGGGTCAGCATGGCGGCACCGGGACGCTGAGCGCGCGATGCCGCTGGTGGTGCTGTGCGGGTCGCCGGGCAGCGGCAAGAGCCGGCGTGCGGCCGAGCTGCGGGACGCGCTGGGCGGAGCTGAGCGGCGGGCGCACGTCGTGGCCGAGGGGGAGGGCGGCCGGGCGGCTCTGCGGGCCGAGGTGGAGCGGCTGCTGAGCCGACGCGACGTGGTGATCGTGGACGCGAGCAACGAGCTGCGGAGCATCCGCTACGAGCTGTACTGCGCGGCGCGGCAGGCGGGCACGGCGCGCTGCCTGCTGCACTGCGTCGGCGGCGGCCCCGCCGAGCCGCCCTTCGAGGCCCCGGACCCTCGCAACCGCTGGGACCGGCCGCTGTTCGCCGTGCACGGCGAGGAGCCGCTGCCGCTGGCCGACATCCGCGCGGCTCTATTCGAGAGCGCTCCGCCGCCGCCGCACCGCGCCACGCGCAGCCAGCCCCTGCAGTCCGGAGACTTCCTGCACCTCCTCGACCGCGCCACGCAGGACGTGGTGGCCGCTCTCGTGGCCGCCCAGAGGAGCGGGGCGCAGCCTGGAGAGCTGGTGCGCGTCCCCGGCGTGGAGGAGGGGCTGGTGCTGCCGCGGCCCGTCAGCCTGGCCGAGCTGAGCCGGCTCCGCAGGCAGTTCATCAGCTACACTAAGATGCAGCCCAGCAATGAGAACTTGGCACAGCTGGCCGGCATGTTCCTGCAGTACCTGAGCCGCAGCATCCAGTGAGGTGTGGCTCCTTCCGTCCCGAAGTGCTTGCAGCTGTAGGAACGTGCCCTCCTGCCGTGCACCTCAACACTGTGTGACGTGTGTGTCACATAGCACAGCCCGTGACTGTGCTGAGAAAGTCAGTACCATGGCGCTGGAGCAGCTGTACTCCTAAGACGATCTGTAGGATCTTCCTGTCCTCTCTACTGCACTCTCCCCGTGTCTTGTTTGCTTGTTGCATCCCCACACAGCTGAAGTCTCCTGTGGAGACCTGCACCTCAATACTAATGTAGCGACTGAGCATAAATGCTTCAAAGCGGTGAACATAAGGAGAACTCCTGCCCTCCTCATTGCCATGTCTGTCTCTTGAATAAGAAGCCTGCTGTTCCAAGGCTGCCTCCATATGTATCAAACTGCAGAGGGGGACTTCAGTTCCTGGACTGGAAGAGGCCGTATTTTTGGGACATAACTGTTTTTCAAAATCCTATTGAACCCAACAGATAGATCTGCAAACTCTGCACAAAAGCAGGGTGCTGGCTTAGGAAACTTAAATCTCTCATTTCAAGTTTAACAATAAAACATGTGCCTTAGATGGAACAGTCTTAATCTTAAACTGTTTTATTGAAACAACTTGCTGTGGCTTTTTTTTTTTGCAAGGTCCTCATTAAAAGCTTTTAAAAACACTAATTGTTTATGAGTGCTCTTGAGCTTGTTTCGAGAGGATGCGGTGTGATGGCAGTGTGCTCTGCCCAGTCCTCAAAGTCTGCACTGGTTGTGACTGGGTAATTATTTTTGTATTTAGCTTCAGCTGATTTCAGTCTTTACTGTGCCACATGTCTGGCCTGTCCATATGTTTCACATTCTGGTGGATGCTTCATCCCTCATGCAAATAAGTGTCAAGAGTCTGCTTTTTTGTGTGGTGCTATCTGGGAGGAGATGGCAAGTGGGGCAAGAAGAGTTGCTTCAGTGATTTGTCCATGTATCTGATGTACTGGTTGCTAAGTGGACGTTGCCATTTCAGAATGAGAAAATGACTACAGAAATGTTTTTATGTAAATAGCATTACTTTTCCAGTTAAAAAGAATAAAACTGAGGAAGCACATGCAGTATCTCTAAAACTTGTGTGATTTCATCCTGGCTAAGAGTTTATATTGTAAGACTGAGCACTTGCATTTAAAATCTGCATAGGAAATCAATCGATAGTGCAGTGCAGTACCAATTGCAGCTACTTCTGACCTCTTCTGACGTGAAGATCCTTGATGATAAGAGCAGTGTCTGTTTTCCAGATTCAATTCAGCATTTAATTCCCAGAAACAGGGGGGGAAGAGGGGAAGAAAAAAAAGAAAAAAAAAAAGTATTGTTAGGGTGGGGACACGGATGTAAATAGAGCTTTGCTAGGGAAATGTGTATTCTTGCTGCTTGCTGCAAACAAAGTCCTGTGTAAAGATGACAGCATATCATTCAGTTACAAATGGCAGACTTGTGTTGCACTACTGTAAATGTTTATTGCTTCCTCTCTGCCCTTTCCTGGTTCTGAAGGCTGAAACTTAATGTTGGTAGGGATTTCCTTCCTTACCAATCTTCAGCTAAAAGAAGAACCTGATTTTAGGTTATTCTTAATGCTCTGGAAGCTACAGCACTAGCTTCCCTTGGATATTCTTCTATAGCTTAAGGGATTTCATGATAAGAGAAACCATTTCCTTGTTCTTAGTCTTATTGAACTTACTGTACTAGTTAGCTTTTGCCAGTGTGAAGAGAAGTGTTGTACTACTAGATGTGCTCAACAGCAATAAAAATCACCTATAGGTATGTCACTTTTTTCTTGTTAAGGTGAAAGATTATAATAGTCAAGATATTGAGAGCTGTAAAGATGGATTAATTGAATCACAAGCACTTACAGCAGTAAATATGAGAAATACTTTGTGTTTAAAGTCTCTGTCTAATCACATGAAGTAACCTGAGTACATTACCAAGGAGCTCAGAGAACTCAAACTTGTTAAGCTTGACTAGAAGGTGAAATGCTAAGAGGCTTTTCGGAACAAGGTTAAATAAAACATACATTAGGTGATGAAATCAACATCCAGGTGGTAAAGGTAGTGACTGTCTAATGAATTATTTGGGAAGAGGAATGAATAACATTCCCATGGTGTACCTGAAGCACTCAGTACTCTGAATTGTCCTTCACAAATGACCTTTCTGTATTCACTGAAGTTAGCTTCCTACCTTTTGTCATTTTACATTGCACTTAATTTAGGCTTCAGTTCCACACAGACTCCTTCCTTCTCGGTTCTCAAACTTGTCACAGGTTTATTTCAGCATACTAAGATAAGGGCCATTAGCCTGGAAGCTGAAGGGCTTGCCAGTTTACTGTGTGTGATTATTGCTCAAAGGAGGATCTTGATCATGGAGGCAGTAGCAGGAAGTGTCTGAAACATGCAGACAGTAGTGGGGAGAGGGGTTGATGGATGACTGTCATACAGTGGATTATGTTGAGCAGCTGTGTAAATCCCTTCTGAGATCTCTTACGTAGCTGGAGTGGCTAACCACTGCTAATTCCTTAGGAAACACATGACCAGTTGTGCTTCTATGCAAATCTGAACAAATGAGAGCAACCCTTCCAAAGGGAAAATCTCCTCTCTACTGGAGTGGTTGGTGATTGACATTTCTAATGAACTGTTCTAATGCGTTGTTAAGATTGGAAGGTTTTTGCAAGACAGCAAAACCTTAGAATACAGTGGAATCTCTCTGCATTTTCTATTATATTAAGCCTTTGTAATGCCCTTGACTCTCAAAATGTACAAACAATAGAACTTACAGTTGAGAGGCTTCATGTAAGCTATCTGACATGTTTTCCTTTCTTTCCCCTTATTTTGCAGTGGTTTGCCTCTTATGATTATCATCCACAAATCTTGGTGTGGAGCTTGCAAAGGTGAGTGAATTTAATTCTGGAGCTTGATGAAATTCCTGGTGAACTTTTGCATGCAAATTGTGTAACATGACAAATGTGAACTTTGCATTCAAAATGTGCTTAGCTGTATTTATATTTTGTTCAGAGCAGTGTAGTATCTCACCACTTCAGCTAATAGTGCTGCCAAAAGCCAGCCTTTATAAATGCCAGTCAAGTAACAGCTGCATGTCTACAGTGGCTGCAGTTTTCCTGCACTTTGCTAGAAAAAAAAAATGTAGAAAATGAATGAATTGAGAGTTAAGAGCAAATTACCTTACTTTCAGCCACTGGTTCTCAGGATGCTGGGCTTTGTCTCTTTCAGTATTGCAAAGGAACATGCTGATCATTATGACTAGGCTTAAGATGAACAGGCTGGTTGAGAAATGGTGGTTTACAGCAAGCTTTTGTTTCTGTTCCATTCGTTCAAAAGTGATGACATATGGCTGATGGTTAAGTTTCACTGTGTGGCTGCTCAGCAGGGATCACTGCTCTGCTGTTCTGAGCCTGGCCTGAGCAACTTGATGCATACATTCCATTTCACTATGCTCACTGAAAAGTACCAGCTCTCTAGAGGGAGGAATAGAGATTTTTCTGCCTACCTGAAAACCTGAAATATTTTCCATTGTCTTTCCATATCTTTCTCTCTTTATTTTTTTCTTTCTTAATTAGCTTTGAAGCCAAAGTTTGCTGAGTCTAAGGAGATCTCTGAACTTGCTCATAATTTTGTAATGGTCAACCTTGAGGTAGGCCACTCTTTTGTTTGTACCTATATTACTGCTTAGTAATAAAGCATTTTGAATCCTGCTTAACTGGTTGAATCTGTTTCTTTTCTATATCCTAAGTCTTGCACTCCTGAGTGGAGATATGCAAGATTGATTGATAGAGCCACTTGTTTTGAAAATATTTTTCTTCACTGTAGTTACTTTAATTGCACTGATAAACCTGACTCTCCACTGCTGCCTCTTTAACAGTTTAATGTTGTTTGTCTGTTGCCACAGGGAGGGGATTTATATTCATTCTCTCATAATGTACCAGACGTTCCTGCACCAAAGCAGGGTGTTTAATGCACACTGATATTTCACAAATTTTACTTCTTTAGGGGAAATTACCTTATTTCATTTGAGAGTGGAAAGAGTGCAATACCTGTTGTCTGTTCAAGATGTAAATTGTTCAGGGCAACTGGAATCTGAAGGCTTGTTTCTTTAAAACAAGTGCTGTGTTTTATTACATTACATTGCATGCTAACACATGGCCTCATTTCTGTCTTGCTTTTGTAGGATGATGAAGAGCCGAAGGACGAAGCCTTCAGTCCTGATGGAGGTTACATTCCCAGAATCCTTTTCATGGGTAAGACATCAGACATCTGCAGCTGTTGAACCCACGCACAGGACTGCATTCTTACTGTTACCACCCATATTTCCTGTTTGATTTCTTTTTTTCAAAGATCCCAGTGGAAAAGTCCACCCAGAAATCATAAATGAGAAAGGAAACCCCAGCTACAAGTATTTCTATACCAATGCTGATCAAGGTATGTGAGAAATAACTTGAGTACGTTGTTAGTGAGATGGATCTGTAGGTGTGTCTTGAGTGAAGGACAGCACCTTCATTTTTAAGTGGAGAAAAATTATACTTCACCGTGTAAGGGAGCTGTGAATTACAGCATGTGTGAGTGGCTCTTCATGCTTTGAGGAACCATATTTAGAGTTATGATCCACTTTAAAACCTACAAAATGTTTGTAGAACCTAAGCATTCTCCTTTTGTCACATGGAAAATCATGCAACTCACAAAGAGGTGGGAGAAAAGCACAGGGCTTTTTCGTTTTGGTGTTGTTTACTTTTTGCCTTAGGTTGCTTTGTAGATGTGCATTCTGTAAGTGTTGGTGTAAAATATCTTCATTAGTGTGGCACCTTGACAGTTCTGTTTTGAGATTAATAGTTGCTTTCTCTCTGATCTTTCAGTTATCCAAGGGATGAAGGAGGCCCAGGAGAAGCTAACAGGTGATGCTTTCAAACAAAAACACCTGGGAGATGAACTATAATGGAAAACACTCAGTTATGGTTTTCCATCACTTCAGTACTCTCAAAGGAAACAGTTAAACAGACCAAGAATGTAGATGCACTGGAGGGACATAATTCTCCTGTCAATAATGTTAAGTTAAACCCTGTTTGGAGTTCACACACATGCATCAGATACAGTGTTATCTCCTCCTCTGCCTGGCAGTGTGTACTATAATGGTTATTTGCAACCAGGTAATGGCAAACACATCAATTAGTGTGTTTGAGCAACCACTAATGTTTGGTATTAAAAGGGAGGTTTGTAGGACAAAACATTCATTTGAAGACAAACAGCATAATTGAAAGAATTGGAAGTAGCCAGCATTTTGACACTTAATCATGGGTGGATCTCTCATTTCTCACTTGTATTATGTGATCCCATTGTTTTTACTGGGGTTCCTATGAATGGGCATGTTCCTGGGCCACGCGTTTTCTCGACCTCCCAAACCATGAATTCTGCCGCTAAGCCAAGTAGAGTAAAATTTCATCCATGTTCAAGTAGCATGTGAAGTCATGAGCTCTGCAAACATACTTTTATGTAGAATTCTGTGTGATTCATCTTTATTTGCCCCTGGGCAGAAATTGAACTTCTTTCTTGTGCACTCACCTTTTGATTGTTTCATCAAGTGAAGGTGGGTTATGTTGAAGCATTACGGGGAATTCCCTTTTATTCTTTGAATGTTTTCTGGTGAATGCCTTGCCATCACATTGTACTGTATTTTTGTACCAGGGTGAAGAATTAAAACTTTTTAAACACAAGCATGCTAAAAGTTGGGTTTTTTGTTTTGTTTTTTTTTTTTGTTTGTTTGTTTTTTGTATTTTTTGTGAGCAACATAGCTTTCTGTTCTTAGGGACTGGCAAATATATTTTTGTTTACATTGCAGTAGTTATTAGTGTTGAGTGTCACAGCTGAAGGTTTCTCCTTTGTGTAATTAAAAGACAACAGATGCTTTTCATGTAATAATAATTCAGCTATTCCTATAGTATATATGTTGCTGAAGTTAAGGTAATATCACAGAATCACAGAATGGCCTGGGTTAAAAAGGACCACCAACCCCCCTGCTATGTGCAGGGTTGCCAACCAGCAGACCAGGCTGCCC